TTTTAAAAATAAAAATTATGTCCCATTTTAAATAACAACCTTTCAAAAAAAAAAAAAAAAAAAAACCTTCCCTTGTCAAATGCTTTTCACAATTCCCCTTTTGATGCCATGTTATGCAATGTACTCATGACATTCCCTTGACATCAATTTTATCACCACAAAATATTATATTAACATGGCAATTACAACTCAAAGGAAATAATCAAAACATTCTATAGTACACAATTATAATCATAGCATGCTTTGAAATATAACACAACAATATCCTGCTTCACTATACCAAATTCAATTAAGCTATCCTTCACAAGAATCAACTATAAACATGTTCCAATTAAACTCATAATAATTCACATCATGGTTTTAATATCTAATACAACATTTTCATACACAAGACATCAAAACTAAAGCACAAAAAAAAAAAAGGATTAGGATTTACTCAATTAAAAGTCAAAACTTAGGCATTGGAGAGACCCCTATCTCCAATTGAAGAGTAACACCTTAGAAATTTCAAAACAGCCTCTAAGAACCCCAAATCATGAAATCCCAAATAGCTCCAAATAGTAATCAACTCTGATCAAAATGAAGGCCTCAACAAGTTCTTCAACTTTATCTTAAGTGGTAAAGGCAAATTCCCAAAGATGGAAGAGAAATCAAGCCTTGAATGTAATATTTTAGAGAGAGAGAGTCTATTTGTAGAGAGAGAAATGGTGCATCGTGAGGAAGCGAAGGAAAATGGGATGTCTGATAAGTCAAAGATGGCTTTAAGGCCATTAAAATGTTTAACCTGTGGGTCCCGCCACAAAAAAAAAATATCACCTTTACCTTTTTATAATGTAAATGAATAATATTAGCCAAATAATAACTAGATTTAAACATATAGTCATATAATTGTACATTAAATAAGCATGCATGAAATGCAATGGACCCAGAATAAAATCCTCGTACACAATAAACCAATAGCGGGACCCACGTAGGACTTCCTGACCCGAAAAAAAAACAAAAAAATTGCCGAAATGATAACCTTTGCATTTCCAAGAGTCCCGAACTCAAAGAAATGTCCCAACTAACTCTTGGACATACCCAGTACACCCCCACGGTGTTCGGCACGTAAAACGAGAAAAGACAAAAATACCCTCAAAAATAAGAAAACACCACAAAATGGAAAAAGAGAAAAATCAGAAACATTACAGCTGTGGTGCTAAGTTAAGGTTGAGAGAGGCATATTTGAGCTATTTACATTTACTGAGCACAAGTACTTGAGCCATACTATGCTGCAAATGATTTTCACTTCTCAAACCTGTGATTTGAGCTATTTTCTGGTTTAGCCTTATGATTCATATATAGATTATTTATATCTTGCTACACAATGTTTGATCTACATGCTAGCAAGTTTGTATTGATGAATCAAGGCTGTTGAAGTTGGTTTTTTTGGATAGAATTTTTGTCACCTTTGGTTTTGACCTGCCAAAACCCTAATTCTTCATTGTGTAGTTGTAGTCAAGGCCTTATTGATGTTGTATTGTGATTCACATGCTATACTTATCTTGTTTATCATCTGAGCATGTTTATAATGGTAACATCAGGTTATATGAGTGATCTCAGAATTTTGGGGACACGAATTTCTAGTTTTACCCCTCAAACCTTAGTTTCTGTAGAAAGGGTTCTAGAGGTTACAGATTGATGTTTTGAACTGCACAACCACTCTTGTCTTTTGTGTATGCTTGAATATTGTTGATATTCATTCTTTTAAATGTATTTGGTGAGCTATGAGAGCTTGCAGGGTCCAAGCAAGGGTGTTTACGATAGGGGGAGTGCTTGTAAGCAATGTGTTGAGCTAGTATGTGTGTAGAGGCTGTGAAAGCTAGTGTTTCAACCTGTACAAGGGTGTGTGCAGAGTATGAGACAACTTAGTGTGTAACTACTTGCATACAACTAGTGGAGCTTATATTGGCTAAGGCTAAGAACCAAGATTTTTCCCTTTTGAAAGGGTTTTCCTTGTATACCTTGTGTTTATTGTATTTGTTTGTCAACATTGATCTTGTTGTAATTAAAAAAAAAAATTTAATTGGCTAATTCAACCCCCTGGCCTGCTTGGTCCAATAGATTTGTTACTCAATCAAGAATCAAAGGTCAGAATGTACACCTTATGGAAAATAGCATCATTTGGTCAAGGGGGGTAAAAAGAATTTTACCGAAGAGGCTGAGAATATTTTCGTTTGATCTGGGATGACCCATTAGGCTGTTAAGCCAATTGGGTATCAAAGAAGAATCGGTAATTGTGACCAATTTAACAGTTCAGGTCTTTAAAAAATTTGGTCGGCCCTTAATTTTAAAGAGCTGAGGGAATAAAATTTTAAATTCGGCCACTTAGCAACGCTCTTAAGTAAAATCAGAGTTAAAATGTTCAAGTGTTGGTGATGCTCTGAATCACTATTTGTGAGGTGTCGAACCTATAATAATTGAAATTCAGTTGTCGATTTACAATAACAATTGACCGATATTTTGGAACAACAATTATCGGTGATTAACAGTAGTTTCAGTCAACCAAAACAATTAATAGAGTTTTTGGAAAACCATGGACACGTGGCAGGAGGTTCTGAAGCACGTGACAAAAGGTGTTGAAGAAAACATGGAGTTGCATTTGAATTTGAATTCGAATTTAAATTATATTTGAATTCAAAATTGAATTGTTTTTTAATTTAAATTGAGCAGTTGGTTACATTTAAATTATATTTGAATTCAAATTTGAATAGTATTTGAATTCAAATTGAGCAGTGAGTTAGAACCGTCATATAAAACAATAGAATAATATGCATTGAACTTCCTTGGTTTTCTCGTGCACCAGAGGGGCATTAAAGTGGGACAAGAACAAGACCTGGGCAATCATTTATGCTCGACCCTATATTCCATGTTTAGAAATGACAAAGAGGTTCTAAATAGCAGTTGGGGAAATAGGTTCCCACTTGCTTGGCTACAATAGTACATTTGCTAATCACCTTGAACCACTTTGAAGTCCAACTATAAAAGGTGTTGGATAAGATTGTGCAGAAGTCCAACTATAAAAGGTGTTGGATAAGATTGTGCAAAACGTCCATGACCAAACAAATCTGCATTTACTTACACAATGTAGTTTTTTTATTTATACTTCTTTTCCATAGGAGTAGTAGTAATGTTAGTGTTAGAATAAAATTCATATCCATGTACTTGTTCTCTTGTACGCGGATTCTTACTTATGAAATAAATCTGGACTCATGGATTTCAATGTCTCCTCCAACATTTATTTTGTAAGTTATATTCGAATTGAAGAACGCTTGTGCATTTTTTTGTTTTGCTCCCTTCATCTATTCTTCCATTGTTGTTGAAAGTCCTCTTTGTTACACCACACACACATACACACACAAACATAGAACGAGATGGATACACACCTGAGGACAAAGATAAACAGAGAGATAGAGAGAGAGAGAGAAAGAACTAATTAGTTGATCTTTCCAAAATAGAGAGCTAGAAATGGATACAAACCCTTACCAAGAACTTATCAATTTTCAGAGCATGAAGACCACCAATATGAACAAAGGGAGTGTGATTTTGGGAATTTTTTGAATGAAGGGTCAATCGATTTAGGGGAGTGAAGGCAACAGATTTGGGGATTTGGGGAAATTAGGTTAGATTGTGTTTGGGTGTGTGTTGGTTATAAGGTGTTTGGGTCCAATGGTAACAAAAAAGGCATTATTGTCCTTTCATGTTCAGAAGGGCACCATGGTCCTTTAATTTTAAAATGTGAGTTACGTGTTGTCTTTAATGGAAATATAAATCGGTTGATGGACGGAGCCATCTACAACAAAAATGTATAATTTTGTGTTTTTTATGCAGCTTTGTAGCTGGCGGGCGAGGGTATTTGAAGGTTTGACCAATAGCTCACAGTTTTATTTTTTATTTTTTTTGCATTTTACCCAAATATCTATTATGGTCAATTGTCTCATTACCAATAGTTCACAGTTTTATTTTTTATTTTTTTTTGCATTTTACCGAAATATCTATTCTGGTCAATTGTTTCAATTAAAGTCTATACTTTCTTGTCCATTCCTTAGATCAAATTGTGCTCGAATTATTATTGTTTAGTACTAAAGATCATGGCCATAGGCCACATGGTCTGACGAAATATACTTTCTTGTCCACATGTTCATTAGGATTATCTCAAGCTAACTCAACCTTTATTATTTCTTACTACTACGACCATACATGGCCAAAGTCTGATGAAATATCTTAGGATTATCCCAAGCTAACTCAACCCAGTATATTGAATTATTTATTTATTTTCAACTTGCCAAGGAAGAAACAAGGATTCAGAGATTAAAATCCTGCAAAGCCAAAAGTCACAATATCATCTATTCCCTAGGCCTGCATCTTGAGAAACATGATCTTTCACAACTTTGCTATTGCATGAGAATTTTCCTTTTTTATATTTTATTGTTTGACTGCATTTTTGGAATTGATTAAGACTGAAAACGAAAGTAATTTTGGAGTCTGTAGAAAAATCAATAAGTTGAAAAAAAAAAAGAAGACCAAAATCAATAAGTTGACTGCATTTTTGGAATTGATTAAGACTGAAAACGAAAGTAATTTTTGGAGTCTGTAGTAATTAACTACCCATTTCGAGTCGCTCCATTGACTTTGAACAGGTCCTTGAAGTACTTTTCTAAATGGTTCTTAGAATTCCACTCACTTGCGTTGTGGAAATGATGTGTGAGAGAGAAATTTGCATCAAAGACTTCCAAAATTCAAGAATATTATATGATGCATGTGAAAACTTCAAATTTTCCACAAGGATAACGACTTTTTCACTTAAAAGTTTGAATGATTTACATGCGAAACTACCTTGAGTGTATCCAATGGATGATGAGTTGGAATGACTTTTCGTTCTAAATATCATCTCTCTTCCAAGTATATGACATGATACATTTGAAAATTCTCATGAAAGACACCAAAATTTTACACAAATCTTTACAAGAATAATACAAGTAGTAACATTGATCTATTGGTAATTTTAAGTTGCTGATAATCTAAATGACAACAAACTGACCAATTCAAAAAAAAAAAATCATTCCAAAAAAAAAAAAAACATACAATACAATTATATGAAGATATCTATGGCCTTTGGAAACCTTTGGTTTCAACTTTCACCACATCCCATAATAGATGTTGGCAATTGTCCCACCTTCTCTATCCCTTCTTCAAACACCACACCCATGCCCATATGGAAATGGGCCTCAATATGGCAATGGAAAGCCCACACACCTGGATTATCACTGCGAAACCGCAAAGCGGTCCACCCATAAGGATGAACAGGCACTGTGTTCTTCATGATTGGATTAACCAAATTGTACTTCTTTGGATCATTGAACATGTCAAACTTGCCTTTGCCATAGCCAAGTACCCAAAAATCGTGTCCGTGGAGGTGCCACGGATGTGTCTCACTGTCGTTTTTGTTCATTGTGTTTGCGTTTTGAAGAATAATGTCCACTGTTGTATTAAACTGCAGCCTATAGATGGAGTTGCTAGTAGTGGCATTCGCATTGTCCGCGACACTATAAATGTCGTAATTCACAAAATCATAACCATTAGGAGGATGGTTTAGATCAATTCCATGTAACAAATTCTTCTTTAGCGCGGTTAGGTATGGTGTATGGGGAAATTCGAAGGAGACATTATTGACGGACCACCTCCTGTGGCCATTGACCTCATTTTGTGTGTTTAGGAACACAATCATTCTATCTGTTATATTAGGAGGAGTGTCAATGAAACCTTGTCGCGCCCTGATTGCAAGGCTCTGCGCCATTCTTGGATTGGCATCGTTCCAATTAGGGCCCGAAGGTGGAACTGTTGGAGGAGACCTTCTAGGATGGTTTGGGTAGTAATTGAAAATGGCTAAGCCATTTGGAGTTGTTCTGTTCCTCCCAACAACTGCCGCACTTGCCCAATAATTTCGCGAAGGGTCTTGATCGGCTATTATGAGGACAGAGTATGTCTCACCGGAGTAAACGAATATGTTCTTTATAACAAATGGCTCCACATTGTGACCATCAGCTTCAACCACTGTCATGTTGTGACCCTGCATTACAAGAATTAATTGAACTATGTATTAGCAATGGACAAAAATTATCAAACACATTATGAAGAACTGACATGAACATTAGATTAAGTACCTCTATTTCAAAACTAAGAGCTGATAGCGCGGTGAGGCTACTAATCCTTAGTCTATATGTTTTTCCTGGAACTACTGTCAGTACATAGGGGGAACATTCTGGATTTGTCGCGTTACAAGAACCGGATTCTACACTTGGAGAAGAGCAATTGAACCTTCCTCTTCCTTGTATTAAGATTGACTGAAATGTAATAGGAAGTTACACTATCAATTATTTATCAACTTATTTTAGAAAAAAAGCATACTCGATCATATGTAATTCAAATTGTAATTGTAGAGGTGGTGTGAGTAATTTAATTACCTGAGGCTCTCCAACCCAAACGAAGGGAATAGAGGACAAGCCAGTGGCTTGTTCAGATGCGCTTTTGTGGTACCAATCATTAAGGATGATGCTTCGATCATAGTCATACGAATAGGGCTCGGATTCTCCATCAGGAAGTGATACGCGGATTGATCCATACAGCCCGGCTTCTCTCTGCATACCATAGTGTGCATGGTACAAATATGTCCCAGGCTGCATTATGTTCAAATTAAAGCAAATTAAACATCCATCACTTGTCAAAGTTTTATAAGTAAAAGTACCAATATGATGCTGCAAAATTAAGCTTGTGCCACTACAACTTACCCTATCAACAACAAACTGGTATGTGAAGGTGTCTCCCGCCAAAATTGGACATTGAGTCACTCCTTCTGTTCCATCAAACCAAGGTGTTCCTTTCTGCAGTAGTTCACAAAAATAACTCGGTTTATCAGTTAGAAAATTATAGAAAAATTCTACTTAGTTCAGTTTTATCTGAAAACTTGTTATAAAAAGGTCTGTTTTATTATGTTTTCTGAGTTTTTAAAAACTATTTTCAAAAAACTGAATAAAACATATATGATCGAAAATTGCATACCTGTCTGATTCCGTGCCAATGGATCGCAACATTCTCAGTTAACAAACTGTTCGTTAGCTCCACTATGATTGTATCATATTGCTGTGCTACGATTGAGGGTCCTGGGGTTCTTCCATTTATGGCTATAACCAGTTTCTTGTAGCAATCAGGATACTGGTACTCATACTTCACCTCCCACTTGTATCTACGAATTCTCGCCTCGGCGAACGGAACAGTACATAGTAGTGAAACAAAGAGACACAAACCTAGAAATCTTATCATAACAACTCTTATGGGATTAATAAAAAAAGCTCAACTCAAACTGCAAATTAACCAAATTAACTATGCTGGTTTGTGCTTGAGTTGCTAGCTCCCAAGGAGAGATTGTTGGGGGATTGAAATGGGATTTCTATAACTAAAAGCTTCACCTTCTTCTTATACACAATTGAGCGTTGATTAGTCAATCAACGCTGCAAGGGATTTTCAGTCTGTAGAAAAAATCAATTGGTGAGTAGACTAACGCAACAGAACTTGGTAAACATTTACTTTTTCGTAGGACTTTCCTCGGTATATACTATTTCTTTTCTTCTCTCTCTCTTTTATTTATTTATTCAGTTCAGTTCGATTAGATGAAAATATGCAAGAAAAGAAAAAAAAAAAAAAAATGAAGTAAATAAAAAGAAAATTTATTTTCTAACAAGTATTTAACAAGCATTTAGTTAGCATAAAAATTTATTCAAAATATTTGTAGAAAAATATTAATTATTGGGTCCGACCACCCTCGACCAGACTCTCACCAAAACTAATTGAGATTCATTGATAATAGAGCCGTTATATATATATATATATATATATATATATATATATAGTTGGTGAGGCTAAATTAGGGTTTCAAGGTGTAACAGACCCAATTAAAGACAACAGAGAATATTGTATATTTTAATACCAAGGGTAGTTTTGGAAACTTTCTTCTAAAAGATCCTAATCTTTTTCTTCTTTTATTTTTGGGTAATTTGCACTTACACCCCCTCAGGTTTGCAATAAGGACAAGTAAATACAACTTAGGAAGTGTGTGATTCAATTGCCCCTTTAAGTTTGAAAACTTAAACAATAACACCCCAACCATGATAAGAGTACTAAATTACCCTTTAACCCTGAATTGATTCATTTAAATTATTAAAGTACAATATTAACCTTTATAGGTCTTTTTATTTGACCAAAATTGACCCTTAAGGAAAAAGAAAAAAAAGTTCAAACTCCACCAGTGTGGCCGCCAATGCCACATGCATACAAATAGGGGCAGACCCATAAAGTTTTAATTGGTGGGGCCAAACTAGTAATGTAAAATTAAAATTTTAAAATAACATAAAATCATTGTAAGAAATTTTTTTGTGCAAGTTTAATGTATTCTGTTCAAATGTGTCTATAAATAATATGCAATAAAATTGAAGAGAAGGGTTGTCGATTGAATCATTGTTGTTGTCAAGTAAATATATATATATTTTTTCTTTCTAATTCATAACAAATAATATTTATGTATGTGTGTGAATATATGTGTAGATTACCATAATAATTAATAATTTTTATTTTTATTTATTTATTTTTTTTACTAACTTTGATCTTTTATAGCAAGAGGTTTATGGGAATTTTAAGGGTTTAGAAATAATTTGATATTTAATATCAGGGAACCATATAGATTTTTTTTTAAATAAATTAGAGAGATCAACTTTAATTTTTATATAGAAAACAACTATTAGTATCTATGATTTAGTACCATAAATAGAGTGTTACAAAAAATTTGAGTGGGCCAGCTTTAATTTTTATGTAAAAAATTACCATAAATAATTTTAATCTAATATTATAATAAGGTTTTGCAAAAAAATTGCGAAGGCCATGGTGGAGTTTATTTTTTGTTTTTTTAATTTGCTAAGGGTTATTTTGGTCAAATCAAAGGACTTGTAAAAGGTTAATATTATACTTTCATGATTTAAATGGGTCAATTCAGAAGTCAAAGGGCAATTACGTACCCTTATCATGGTTGGGGGTGTTGTTGTTTAAGTTTGCAAATTTGAGGGGGCAATTGGATCATATTCTCTCTAAATTATATTTACCTGTCTTTATTGCAAATCTAAGGAGGTGTGAGTGCAAATTACCCTTTATTTTTTTGAGATTTGTATAAAGAACGTTCGCTGACCAAAAAGGAATGAACCAATACAAATTAATTGAATTACTAGAAATTCAACCAATCATTTGATCAAAAGAACAAACATTTGACAGAAAGAACAAACACAGGAGCATTAATTAACACAAGTTGAAAGGGAATAATAGCACATTTGTGCTTGAAACCATGATAAAAAAAAAATATAAAATAAAAAAGAAACAGACTACTCATATACAGATTAATACTTTAATAGAGTCATTTTCATATCATTAATTCCATACCCATCCGATAAGATAAACATTGCCAAAAATCCCATTTGGGCACATATCCAAGTGCCAGACAGAAAAGGGCTATCTATCCCCCTATGTGCTAGAGTGATATATATATTAAGAGTAATGATTGGGGAATCGAAAATGAATCTCTGAATTAACATCGAATTTGACATAGTTGGCCATTCTTATCACGTGTTAAACAATTATTTTTTGGAAACTGTTTAAATAGATAAGGTAGACAAAAACACGTCAGATTCGGTACTTATTTGGGGTTAATTATTCGATCTCCCTATCATTATTCATATATTAATTAAACCCCGAAAAAAAGTCCAAAATAGATAGATCCCATAAGAGAAACCTACATTCTCAACGTCAGAGGAGTTGTCAGAATATTTGTTAAAGGAGTCGCCGGAGTCCTTCATGGTGGGGTGCATGACAGCGTCGAGATGGTTGATCTTGAGCTTGGAGTAGGTCTATGCCACTTTCAAGTCCCGAACCATCTTCTGAACCTCTATCATCTTGTTTGTGACATCCCTCGCCCGTGCCTTGAGAGCTTTCGTCTCCACAACTCGTGGGTCATTCTGTAAAGAATTTTTCTGGCAGAGCTCGGCGGTCTGAACAACGAGGTTACCCCTCAACAACATTTCGAAATAAAGGGTACCCAATATTGGATTTAGCAAGCACTATTTCGCATCCTGTACATATATATATATACATATATATACATATATACATATATATACATATATAATATACATCAACAAACAATGTAATAGAAATAAAACAAAAACGATATATATTGATCGAGCATTCAAGGTACCTTCATCATTCAACACGATCATCACACTATTAAGAGCAATGAAACTTGATGTCTGATATTTGACATCTGTAGCAGGAAGAAGCTTGAGCAAGTGAACAATCATGAGTGAACCTTTGTTTAACCTCTGAGTAGAAACTGGATTCGCCATCTAATTAAACAGAGAAAAAAAAATAGAAAAAAACCCAAAACACCACCACCACAACCACCAAAAAAAATATAGAAATGACTGGCCAAACCAACACCACCACGGCCTCTCGCCCTAAGTGTGAGAAAAATCTGTTAGAATATATTACTATATTGTATAATATATTCTAACCTTATATAGGATTACCATATATATAGTTACTATATACATATAAGGTTACTTGTTTATCACACATAACTCCTCCTATATAAACCCTTCTTGTATATCTTGTAACAACCCGAACCTATGGCGGCCCTGGTTTTAAGCCAGTGCGTCTTATGATAAACCGAAGTTTGACCCGATAACGGATCTGAATACAGAAGCAAAAATAGAAACCAAGTCTCAAGAGATGTAATGCATCTCTAAGACACCAAAGTGACCTTCCATGAGGCCACTGAACTCAACGAGAACAACGCAGATGAAAAAGATCAGAAAAAGACCCAAATAAGGCCCCAAGGGCAAATGGTCTTTTACATGGAAGCAATGTCTTTAGAAATGTACATCATCCCTAAGACACAAGCATAACTTCCCATAAAGTCACGGAACCCAAAAGAAAGCAAGCAGAAGCAATTTAAAAAGGAAAACTAAACAAGTTTATCCCCAAGGGCAAAATGGTCATTTATAAGAAGATCCAAATGCAACCAAGCAAGCCATTGGATAGACGATGAAAACTTAATCAAGTCAGACTCAAAAATCACCTGATTTGGAGTCCGAATGAAAAAACAATAGTATAAAGTTCGGAGGTCAAGGCAAAGGGGCACCAAGGCAGCACCCCTATGCACGCCCCGCCCGCGGAAGAGGAGCCCCGCCCGTGCACAAGAGGAGTGCCACGCATGGGCGCCACGCGCACAAGAAAAGGATGTTGCGCGCGCGCATGATGCGCTGTGCGTGCGGTGCATGCCATGACAGCAATAGTGCTGACAGCAGCACTTTGCTGCAATTGAGAGCAAAAATGGACCTCAAGATGAACGTTTTTGGAAAAAGATAAAGAAGAAACCCCCCTTAAAATCAAGTTTTCTACCCAACCATATCGAAATAAAAATTTAAAACATGCTATGAAATGCCTTGTATACCCTTAGAACAGTTTAGGTCAAAAACGATGAAACTGCAACTTTGCACCAAGTGCTCATTTAACCTTAAATGGATTTCTGGGCTAAAACAATTGTGCACGCAAACGTATTTAGTGATTTTAAGTGCGCGGGAATGGTCTGTGGGCCCCATAAATGCCCAATGCCAAATTCAACCTATCAAAGCTGAAAAATGCCTTAAATGGACTTTAAAAAGAAATTTTGAAACTTAAAATCGTAAAATAATTTCAAAAAACCATTTGGCCCATGGCCACACTTCATGCATAAATGAAGAGACCCTATAGAAGTGCTAAAGCCCACTTCCCACCACCCATGCAAATGTAATGACTTAGAGCATGCCATTTTTCTATTTTTCAATAAAATCACTTAGAAATAAAAGTACTTAGAATACAAAATGAAAGTACTTGGCATATTGCCTCATTACATATATGTCAAATATGTCCTAAAGAGTATATGTAAACACACTTTACATATTACAAAGCATAAACGGCGTATTGAGCCTAACTAAGTATTACAACTTTAAAAGTAAAACTCAAACATGCTAATACTTGCATGTGAACAATAATGCATTTAAAAGAACTTCAATCCAACAAAACGACCTAAGGATATTGTGCATACCAAAACCCCATCTTCTTGCCTGAAATAGGTCGCATTCAGCGAGGGTTGAGTAACTTGTATTACTCATAGGAGTTTAACTAATTCACCCCCCCTCTTGGTTCAACAATTGGTATCAAAGCTTGGTCTGCATTTGAAGGTTCTAACAAGCTTGCAGCTGATCCTAGCTATGGATGAAGGCCAAGTTATTAACAAAGCTCCTGGATTTAAAGGTTCTAACTATGACTCATGGAAAACTAGAATGGAAGCCTTTTTGATGTCTTAATCCTATGATGTGTGGCATGCTGCTTTATATGGTGTTGTTATTCTGAATCCTGAGAATCCAACTACTGAAGATAAGCTAGCTGTAGCTAATGATGGGAAGGCCAAACATGTTCTTTTTTGTGCCTTAAAGCAACAAGAGTTTACA